TCACCGTATTAGTTATTCTTCATGTCTTTGACCTAGACTGACTCATACCAAGGTTAACTATCTGGAAAAGGAATAGGAGCATCTATTAACAGACAAGTTAAATAGAGACAAGCTGATATTTGTTCTCTTGCAGTTTAATAAGCCTGAAGTAAAAGGTGGGAGGCAGCACTGCTTTTGCAGCATTTTCCTGCTGGTGAAAACTAAAAATATCAAAGAATCAGACCATTAGAAAAGATACAGGAGTGGGCTTTACTAAGAGTTGAAGCAGGAAATATAGAGACTGATCCCATAGAAAACGAATAAACGAGACTTTTATCTTCTGAATAGAGGGGCAGTAAGTATTGTGCATCCCAGCTAGAGTAGTGGATTTGAATGGAGAAAGACGGTGGAGGATGCTGATGCAGGAGCAGATGGGGTTGAAAGCTAGAACACTGAATGGTGAAGTAAAATTCTATACAAAAATAGTTCTGGTTTAGATGAAGTAACTTTAAATTAAAAGAAGATCTTATAAATTCCTTCTTGATGAGATAGCATGGCCATGGTTGTGGTGTACAGATGGTGCAGTTTGTTTACTAATGGCATTTTTTACGTCAGTTGGCAGTAACATTTTAGTAGTACCTAAAAATGCATCTTAAGTGCTTCTCTGTAGGCATCTGTGCTTGAAAATTCAGGCCATGGTTGGTTTGAACTGCCTAAATGACTTTTTTCTTTAAAACCATATTGTGTAGCTGTAGAAATAAATACCCTGTAGCAAAATCAGGAGGGACTGTGTTGCTTTAATATTTGTTATGGCTTAATTGGAAGGGGCTGGATTTGAAGGATTCAATGAAATCAGATAAAAGTTTGAAATAATACCAAAATAATGGAAATAATTATTATAAAACACTTCTTTCTGTAAAATGAGCTCAAACCAGAGCTGTAGATGTAAATGATTAGTTGTCACATCCAGCTTTCTTAGGTACCCTATTTGTTTTTAATTACTTTTTCCCAATTGTAAACAGTCTGTTTACAAGGGCTATCCTGTGTGTTGCTGAATGCTTGTATGTAACCTCATGCCAAAATACCTCATGCCTGCTCATTTGTCATTTACATGGCTATCCAGAATGAATTCTAGTCTTTTTAGGTAATACGTAGAGTGAAATTTGGCTCAGAACACATCTTGACAATATGCACTTAATCATAATTTCACAAAGTGATAAATTTTAGGTTAATTCTTCAGTAAAAAAACTGCATGCTGTTTACAGGTTTGGTGTTCACTTTTCAAAACTTTGCTGAATAGGGCCTTGAATCTAAAATGCAGCAAACAGAACTTGCTGTAAGGTTGGTGATTACCCTTTTTTTTGATGTTGTCTTCGTCAAAGGAAGTTTTGTCTTTGAAAGCACTGCAAGCAAAAATAGTACTAAGCTTCCACTGCTGATGGAGATACTATATTAGTATTGGAGTTCCTACACCATGTTGGCTTTGAGATGTATACTTTCATGCTTTATGAGTTCGTATAAGTGTTTAAGGTTTCTTCCAGGTCCTTTGTGATAATCTACAAATGGCACTTGGTGGGTAGGGGACCAAGCAGTTAAACCTCAGGTTGCAGTGTGAAGTGCTGAGCAAATAGACAGCTGTTATCTATTAGGGAGGATGTGGCTGCTGGCAATTTTTTGTCACTATCTTTTTGTCACTGTCTGATGTGAGAAAATTCTTCCTTCTTTGTCAAACATCCCCAATCTTTGCTCTTCTTGATTCTTTACTTCCTTGTTTCAGTGGGAAAGTTGGGCCCCTTCTATTTTCCTCTAGCAAAAAATGAAAGCACAGTTTGTGTACTGAGTCAACTCTCCACTTATTTTAATTAGCAAAAAGAAACCGAAGTGCCTCCATTAAAATATTTATCTAAATTTCTTAGCTCCAAAACTTTGAATGTAGTTATTTTTAACCTGGTTTCCTAGGGAAAGATGTTCCTGCAATCATTTTTCACTAACCACCCACTGTTAATAACTTCAAAAGCCTTAGCAATGATCACAAACACTTCAGGTGGGGTAGAGACGTCAGCTTTGAAATCCATAAGCTTCAGAAATGAGGACAGGTGGGTAGGAGAAACGCTTGTCACTGTGCCGGTCAGGCTGCCACACAAGGCCTGGCCTGGCTACTGGATGTTGGAGGATCTGTGTGTAAGAGGCTTCATGAAGACCCTGTCTGCTGGGAAGGCAGTGTCATCATGGGGGCACTGATGGGAAGCAGGAGTCTGAGGAAATACTTTCACCTTCCTTCCATGCTGCTGCTCCTGATTATGTCTTCACTCTTCTTGACATCCTTCTCAAAACTGCACCTCTGAATTACAAGCATAAACCAGGGTAATAATGATCTGGCCTTCTGTTGTACCCTCAGACACTGCTTCTGCACTTTGTTTGGTCTGTTGCTGCAGGATGCTGTGGCTGGCCTCGGCCTTTGTCTTCAACCGCAGTCCTTGTCTTTGGCCTCAGCCCTTGTCTTCAGCTGGTACCACACAGGTACCACACGGGTTTCTTCCTTGAGCAAATGTTACACGTTCATTCTCTGATCTGGCTGAGGCCTCCTGTGCAACCAGTCTCTTGTTTCTCTTTGTCTGAAGAAAGATGGCCCAAACCACATTGTCTCTCATCCTGCTAGTGCCTCCACAGTACATTTCTCCAAGCCCTTTTACCTAAAGCCTCTGAGAGGCTTTATGAAATAGCTGTCTGCTTTCCTCAAGAGCATACCCATATAAACAGAGCTAGGCACCACAGCAGGTGTGGGTGTGCTTGAATCATGGTTGTGCTTTGGAAAACAGCTGCTGTGGATGCAATGGAGTGTTGTAAACAGCTTATATTAGTGTCATGAAGTCATTACAAAACCATGGTCGTGCCATCAGTGGTCTGAATGCTAAGAATATACATGTCAAGATAAAGTTGCATCATTCTATGATTCTTTTGTATCAGAACTCTGAGTTTGTTACCCAAACAAAAGCCAAATACAATAGGAAATATGTTTTTCTCTGGTTGTGTCCTTTAATTCTTTCAACAGCAAGAATAATATTATGCTACAGTGTTATCCAGTAGTGGGACTTCATTTAAAGTAAAACAAGAAAATGCAGTTTAGGAACAGCCTGTTAGCAGATGTTGAAGTGAGCTACGCAAATTATGATACAGTAGATGCAACTTCTAACAATCTTCTGATTTTATGGTACGTAAGAGGTGGAAGAATTCTGGTTTAGTTTGACTTTACTTTCTTGGGCTTCTTTGTTTTCCTTTTTCTTTCCCCCTTTTCTTTCTCATTTAGGTAGATTATCCCTCTTCAGTTTGACTAAAGGGAAACTCTTGTGGTGTGGTCTGTGTGGTGTCTGGACCCAGTGCTGCAAAATGGCACACTCAGGAAGTTACAGTCTTTGGGAGTGGCATTTTCAGCATAGATGCTTGGAGCAGGAGTACTGCTTTTGATGTATCTTCAGAGTTGAAAATGGACATAAGTTGGTAAAGCTGCTTTTCTGAGAAGTCTGCTGGTGGCTTTTGGAAAAGAATGTGCTCATCTGCCCAGGACACGGACAGGCATCTGTTTTTCAGTATGTGGGCACCTTTTATACTGATTTATTCTTCTGCTACTCTGACTTCAGTTCTCTGCTTACTACATTGTTGATGTTTACTGCTTTAGCAATTAAATAATAAAGTAGTCATATTACAATTGTATTTCCATCTGCATTTTCATGGAAAAATAGTACATACTTAAGCTACTAAAAAATGCCCTCATATTCTTAATGGTTAAAATCTTCCCTGTGGTGTTTGTATTGTTAATAACTCTCAGGGCTTTACTCTTCATCATGCTACTCTGCTAGAAATAGCTTTGAAATATATAGATATACAAAATATATATTTTTCTAACAGTGAAAACTAATGTTCTGACATAATAGCCAAAATAAAGTGCCATGAAGCTATTAGCAGTAAATTGAATTTTTTTGTACGTAATTTAGTATAAACGCTGACAAACCGAAAAAAAAAAATAAAAACAACAAATCCGTACTCATTATCAATTCTGTTTAGCAGCACAGAGGCAGCAGTCGGCAAGGGTGTGCGTTTTTATGTCTGCTTCAATTGCATACTTCATTTATTCGGACATGGCACAGGCGGCTTTCTCTGTCACACGGCATCACGGGGCGATTAGCGAGTTGCGCCCCGGGGCAGCTGGGACGCTTTGCTGGGGCAGATGTTCTTTTCAGCTTATTCAGTGGCCGTTCTTGGGTTGTTTACTGTTGTCATAGCTACCTGCATTTCCATAGCAGCCGCGCTGCTGTGTGTGGAACAAGTGAATATAGTTATAAAAGGATCATATTTTGTTCTATCTCTATAACTCACCATCTGTCAACTGATTGTTGGTGATGGATTCAGAAGCCAATTTAACAATAACAGCAGCCGGCTGATGATTTTTGCTTATATTAAAGTGACAATGGATGAGGATGCGAGTAAGTTGACGCTTCGATGAAGTGCTGCCTTTGCTTTTCCCTAAAATGTGGTTTTATTCCCAGTCTTTTCTCAAACACGGCTGAAATCCTTTCTGACTAATCAAAAAGACCAAGCATCGTCTTCTCTACGTGCTCAGGTGTAGGTGTTTCCATATGCTTTCCCACTGTCCTGCTTGCTCATCTCAGTGTGTTGATTCCAAGTTGTGGTGTTGCACCTGCTTTCACAAATCCTTTGTAATGAAATCCAAATGCTCTTCACAAAATTAAATAGCAAATTTGTGAGGCTAACAGAGGCTAACATGTGCTGTCTTGCACACACCCGGATGGTTTGGTGACTTTCCTCACTGTGCTCTGCTTAGTGGCAGTATGGAGATTACATGCAAGTTTGGGGGTGAATACAGTGTGGGATCAAAGAAACATCTGAATAATGAGCTCTTCCACCATCTCACTGAAGAAGTTCGATTGAACCTACAGTTTAGCAACGGGGGCGAAAAGATTAGCCCAGTTGTAAATAATGTATTTATTGATTGATTTTTCCAGATCCTGACATTGATGCTGCCACTGCCATGATGCTTTTGAATACTCCCCCTGAGATACAAGCAGGTTGTGAGTAGATATTTCTATAGCATATAGCAACATAGACATGTAAAGTTAATATTCTCTTTTATAAGTATACAGCGTACCAGATAAAAAGAAGGATTTCATGAAGAAGTACCACTTCTTTTATAGACCCTTACACTTCCTTGACCCTTACACGAGTATAATTTTGTGCTTCGTATTACATTCATTGTTACATGAATAATAGTAATCCATAATCTCTCATGTAAAAGAGGGGTTATTGTTATTCATGACATACACATAATTTAGTAACATACTATTATCCATACTGATGGAAAGACCTGGGGCAACAGCCAGGAAGGCAGAGAGAGAAAGAGAGCAAAGGAGTGAAGGGTACATGGCATATGGTTTTGTTTTCATTTTGTTTTGATTTGACTCCCATCGTGTGAGTTACCACAGCCATCTGGATACTTTCCATTCACTTGGGCACCGTTTCAGCTCCTTCCTTGCACACTTCCTGCCTGTTTTGCTTTTTGCACTACCTGATTCAAGGCAGTAGGCAGGCTCCAGGGAGGGAGGAAAGGTCTGATTTCCTGCCAATTGAACTGTTCTTGTTCTGGGACCAGACCTGATGGTTTGTTGCTGTATACTAACAGAGCTTTGAAGATGCTCTGGCCCCTGCTGTCCTGGGCTCTGCTCATGGTGGGAGAATCATCCTGTCCCAGAGAGCTTGAGGTAGAGGTATTAGAGGAATCCATGGAGAATACTGCTTCACAAAAGCAGGGAATACGAGAGAACAAACATATCTCTGGTCAGCAAGCACGGTAGTAATGCCAAGTGACAGCCAGCTCTAAAGAATCAAGGCAGAAGTTAAAATAGAAGCCATTATAAAGCCTGTCTAGCCTCACTATTGTTCTAGCTCATGCAACCAAATCCACATTCCGGGGGAAGCCTTGGTTCGCACTTTGATATTCTGCCTGGGGAAGAGTCAATTACCATCAAAGCATCTCCTGCACAACCGAGGAAAGCCATTGTCAGCCTGCTTTGTGACTGTGCCAGAGAAATATCTGTTGAGAAACTCCTGTGGAGAGACAGTGTGATGTACCAAGAGCCTGTCCGTGCCAGAGAGGGTGGTCCTTGCCCTTCTCTCCCTCAAAGCTTTCGGGAGCTGTGAAACATAAAAGGGCAATCAATTCCAGCCCTATGTGCAAGTAGAAAAAAGGAAAGATTTTACCAAGGAGCAGAGGGTAGTGATGAGGTTAACCGAGAATGAAATGAGTGATCTTTCGAGGATCAGAAAATTAAGTAAGTCAGAGTAGTGTGCAAAATATGGGTAAAAGATTTTGGCATATAAAACAGGATAAAAAGGAGCAAAAGACTGAGTGTGTGAGAGATGAAAGAAGAAATACAACACTGTGTGCCCAGAAAAGGATGGAGAAGACACACAATAATTCAGACTTGTGTAGTAGCTGGAGAACTGTTGAGTGCAGCCATAGAACAGAGTTGATGCACAGTAACCTGCATGAACTAAGCACACACTGCAGATGTTTATGTCATGTGCACGTTTCCCAGTATCACAGGTGTTTGTGTGGAAGTGATCCAGAGACCTGGCCGCTTTCATGCCATAGAGGTGACATGTGGACTTGCAAGTGGTTTGTTGCTATTTTATTTGTAGAGGTCATTCTGAGGAAGAAAAGTGTAACTTTTTGTAATTTGACATGTCTCTCCTCCCTGTCCCCTCCCCAGTGGGGTGTTGTGTCACAGTGTCAAAAGTGAGACAGAGACAAAAGTAGGAAAGTGGCTCCTTCACTCATGTTGCTGCCTCCTTGATGTCACGAAATATCAAGGCCTTCTTCTGTGGCTTTATGCCACAGAACAGTAGACATGGGGGTCTACTCAGAAGTTCAGGGATCCTTCCAAATGTTGGGTGGAATTGGCTGAAGTCAGAAGAAAAGGTTAGGAGTGTTGATCATAACTTCAGAGGTCTTTCAAATTGTAGCAAAATATTTGTGTGTGTGAACACATCCTTGAGAAGGTAAATCAGCCCACCCTATGAATTGCAGTGAGGTCTACTTTACCATGTTAGGAACATCATAGGCAACTTAAATTAATTACTCATGCATGAATAAACAATTACATGAAAATATCACATTTAAAAATAATTGTCAAATAAAAGGCAAGTGTGCTATAAAAATTTCATAGCGATCCTGAGCATCGTATGGAAGATCACAATTCATTCTCTGCTCTGCTAGTCAGTAGTCTGTAAATGAGCCTGTGAATTATCAGTGTAGTAAGCATGCTGATACTGTTTGGTGTCTTGAAGATTTGAGTTTCTGCTTGTTCTATCAGACTGCACTATCAGGCATGTGCTCAAGTCATCAGGGCTGCAGAATGCCCCCTGCTTTGAAGACAAGGTTGCCTGTAAGAGATTTGAAGAGGGAGGGACATTGCTTACAGTTTGGCTACGAGTGTTAAAAACTGTCTGAAAACACCCTTTGGATATGAGAGTCTGACTACCAATGTGCCACTTACTTCAGCAGCAAAGATGGTCAGATGGAGGCAGAACCTGCTTGTAATTTCAGAGTATAACAACTTGGCAAGTCCAGAAGTTTAAAAGCCCAGTCCATTAAGGTGTTCATCTGTCCTGAAGACATGTAGAACATCTTTGTGAACCGTGGATGTCTTCATGGCACAGTCTGAACTCGTGCCTGTGTGGATGATTGCACACATTGGCTTTTTACTTTGAAGGCATCTCCTTGAATTAAAAGCTGCCTTCCCAACAGGATAAAAACTTGTGCTTCTCTGGATGGCGTGGATGCTAAAAGTGTTTTGGGGATAAAGTTAGATACAGCCATCACTCAAAGTCATATTAAAATTTATTCTTTTAATGTGATCTGTCAGAAAGGAATCCTATCTTGGTGGCGTTAGAAAATCCAGTCTATACTAGTCCTTCCCTGTAACAGACTGATTAATTAGCTTTAGGTTTTAAGTGGCCATTTAAAATTATTTATGAACATCTCAAAGACTGCTGACAGCCACGCAGGAATTTTAAAATTAGCTTTAGTTTTTATATGAATTCATGAAATTGTGTTTGAGCTGGCACATTGCTCAGCATTTGCTTCAGTCACATTGTGCTTTCATTCTCATGCAAAAAAAAGATTGCAAAATAAAAGAGTAAAACACTGCTATTTGGATTTTTTTGTTGTTTGTGGAAGTTTTGCTTTATAGACTTATGAAAGTGATTGTTTGTGTTGCAGTTATACTGGGTTGTTGACAAAGTAATGTTGGCTTTCTAACCTGTCCAAGTTGGCAAGTTTCATTCCTGGATTGTGGTAACACTGGCATCAGAAATTTCTGAACAGTTTCTAAAATATTAATACCTTACCATATTTTTATGAACTAAATAACTGGAGATTGTAAATAGAGACAGAAGTTACAAGTAGCCAGCTTTGTGCAGGATTCCACCGAAAAACACAATCCAACTGGCAGAAGGGACAGCTAGAAACATAGTTTTAATGTTTATTTTTTATTTCAGTTTATGGAAGTCCTTGCATTTCATTAAGTTTTGTATTATTTGATTATGTTTAAAAAAAAGGAACACCTGTCTCCTTTAGTAGCAGTTATCACATGTTATGAATACTTTGTACTTCATTAGTGGTGGAACATGAATATTCATGCCATGATACATGACTTGCATTAAGAGCTGTATTTTTACCTGGAGGGGACTCAGTTTTGGCTGGGTTGTTGTGGGCAAGTTGTGCCCAGTGGCTGGGCCTTTGTTCTCTGACGAGTATCTGGCTCACAGAAGGGCCAAGGGCAAAGATAGGGAACAAAAGTGATGAAGCTGCATCTAGAAGCTGTGGCTTCTCAATTAGTGAAGTCTACAGGTTATTTTGTATGACTGTTGAGATGTTCAATACTTCACATCTTCACAGTGCCTTGGATGTGAGTGCTACCAGCTGGCACTTCCAGTGGCGTATTGTCCTCAGCTCCAAGGTTGTATCATCCTGGCATGCTGTTTAGGCCTGCCAAACTGTGTTTTGCCGTGAAGAAACTGGGCATAGCGTTTGGTAGTCGTGTTTGGACTTCCTGAGGTTCAAGTCACTGTTAGCATTTTAAGTAGCAATACTTTTTTCATCAGTGGGATTGTTGTGAACTTGAAACAATTTGCTCAATTTGCAAGAACCAGTAAAAGGTAGTTGTGCATAACCTATTGTTGATAGTAATGGTGGTGAAACACACCAAAGTCAAAGCATTACACTGAAGATCTTAATGTGAGTTGCTCCTGACTCAGCCATCATAGACATAGCTTTGAATTCCGGATTAGTCCTTTGCATGTTGCTTTATGATTTGGGAATTGCACACCAATGCAAGCATGTTGCCCAAGCTGCAACTTAATACTACACACAGCTGTAAGCTGCTTGCAGGTATGGTTTGGGAGGAAACCAGGAAACTCCAGGAGAGTGCCTTCAGCTCCCAACATTTATCTTCCAGTTTGTTTCTACTCATCCAGATTAGCTAGAAAGTGACAGCTTTCAGGATACTTCATGGCACTGTTTTTAGAGTTGGTTTTTTATTGGAGGCTGAAATGCTCTACTAAGGATTTTTGGGAAGATAGAAAAATGGAGTTTTGCTGGGCACTTTTTAAAAGGCAGGTTTTTCAAGGGTGAGATCTCTGTTTTGGAAACCTTTCTTCTCTCAAAGCATCTATAACCCAGCATAAATACATTCAGTACATCTTAAAGTCAATGGGATGAGAAGAAATTCTTAAAAGAGGTCTATTTCTATACTAATAAAAATGTATCTCAATGAAATTCAGTTTTTAAGCGAATGCAAGTGGATTGGATATGTGGGATATATATTTACAGAAATGAAGGAAAAAATGATATAAAATTGTCTTAAGAGCAAACAGAAATGCTGTGAATAGGATCAAATAGAACATGCTGTCTTCTCAGTGCAGTTTTATTTATGTGAAATTTGTTAACTGCTGTGTTCTGTTTGAAAGCTTGTGGACAAATTACTTGTTATTGCCGATGAGGCAGCTTCCA